TATGCATTTGGAAATGAGGAACAGACAATGAAATTCGTATGCGTGTCGAAGGTGTAGTGTGGTCTACAGTGTGTTTATCTCCATGAAAAACACAAAATTGAAAACTGCAAATGCTTAAAATTAAACATGCCTTGTTTTAAATGCTCTGACACACCCGTTAAAATTCGTTATTTGCTAATTCAAAGGTCCATCAAAATATATTTAATTTTATAAATTTTATCTTATAAGGTATGTAAGCAAAATATTAAATTAGGCTTCATGTCAGTTCAATTTCTATATTTGATAAATTCCAAGGTTTTCTAGCTTAAATTCTAATTAAAATTATGTTACGCAGAGATACACGAGGAAATTCGTCCTGAACTATGTGCGTATCTGGTATTGATACGCCAATAACGTCCTTTAATTCGTGTAAGTAAAGTGCCGTCATTTACAGATTCAGAAGTCCATCAAGCAACAAAACTTGATTTTTATGTAAGAATATATTGTTTTCAATAAACTTAAAATAGCCTTGTGAACAATGTATTATATCAGTGTTCGTTTTAGTTCCTAATGGCTTGTCGAAGTTAAATTCCAAACAGAATTATGTTAGACAGAGAGACACGAGGAAATTCGTCCTGAACTATGTGCATATCTGGTATTGATGCGACCGATAACGTCCTATAGTGTAAGCTGAATTTACAAATTCGAAAGTCCAAAAAACATGTATTGTTTTTTGCAAGAATATATTTAATTAAATAAACCTAAAATAGACTTGTAATGAAAATAATGAATTAATCTGTGTTAGTGTGTTATTTGGATTTTGTCTATAGTTTTAACTAGAATTGTGTATTTGGATATTAGGCAGAGAAACACAAGGAAATTCGTCCTAAACTGTGCGTATCTGGTATTGATTTGACCAATAACGTGCTCTCGTGAAAGCTGAATGCCGTTTTTTGGCTAATAATTAAAAGGTCTAAGAATATATTAAATTCAATAGACCTTACATTTAATGCTTTACTATAGCCAATATTGATAATGGGACGTGTCATGGAGTAGAACACAAAATTATTTTTAGTCTAATAATTGCCTGGCATGTATTGCACAAACTGGAATTAAAATAGGCCTAAACATTTAACCAGCCATATAATTCTTTAATATTTAAAAGTTACAAGTGTTGAAAGAGAGAATTATAAAAGGACTTAAAATAATCTTGTAATTTTGATTTTGTGATAGCCTGATATAAAAAGAGAAAATGGAAGACTAGTCAAATTAGATAAAACATTATTAAAATATAAAACTTTTTTTGAATTAATACTTAATTGTGTCACTGGTCGAACTGCGGTGGTGGAGCGTCCGCGCATTGCTTGAAGAACAGACCACGTGCATACACAGTTTAGAACCGTCCATTTGCAATCTTGGGTGTGGGGTATATTTTTGTTTATTACGATTAAACGGTAAAATGTATTCATAATTTATATTGTGCAAAATACAAGTTTCTCTATGCGCAATACAAGGGAGCAGTTGTAATATAGGAAAAGAAAGAAAAGAGTAATTATCGGGAGCGAGTTGTAAGTAAAACTTTCACCAGGTAGGCAATGGTATAGCCATAGTACATTTTGGAATTCCCAGCCAAAATTCAGCATAAAAAAACGAATTTCACAAGAAATTCACGTAAATTCAATTAATAAAAGTTGTTTTATCAATTAATATCCATAAAAATTGGACACTCACTCACTATTACGACCATCTCGCCTAATAATAACGGTTCTGAACGACGAACTACCCATCCAGCATAGATCATTAACCTCCGGCCAGTATTTACTGTACTTGCACGTGTACAGGCGGCGTACAAAGAGGTTGTTTTCACATGTTTTCGTACGGTTGGGTTATAAATTGAAGGTGGCCTCACAATATGCGATTGAACAAATACTGTTATAGAACCATGTGAATGTTGTGGAACTGCCTGCAGTTGACACTTCGGTATTTATCTTGTAACGCTTTGAATAAAATCTAGGCCTACCTATTTATTTAGCGTGGCGTTGATATTATAAGCGTGGTGCACGCAATTTGTGTTTCCGTGGTGGTCCTTTCGTTTTTTGGTTGGTTTTTTTTTTTTTTTTTTAGCGTGTAGGGCCTAGCTGGCAAGGCCACTGTAATAACTGCAACTTTACTCTTACTGCTGTACTAGTTTGGTAACAGATAGTTTATTATCGCTAGTCCTACACAATAATAAAGAGTCATTACAATCCGACAGGCAACTTCCATTGATGATTTTAAGGCAGCTTTAAAAACTCACCTTTTTAACTTGTATTTTTCTTAATTTTTCTTTTTTTTTTTTTTTTTTTTTTCTCCGTCTTTTTTTTTTTCTTTTTACTGTTAAGTGCATTGAGGCTTTAGCATAATGCGCTATATAAGCCAAAATTATTATTATTATTATTATTCAAGCGTCACAAATGGATTGGTCGTTTTAGGTCGTAAACCAACGACTTATTAGGAGCTCGTTTTGGTCTATAGTGCTCTATAGTCCTTGTATTAGCAGTGTATTTTAACCATAGGGTTACGAGAGCCGTAGAGCAAGGCTTGTTAGGTTTGGTGTGTGCGTTCATAGCATGCCATAGCAACAAAATATTCCATCGCAATGTACCTATAGTAAATCACCCAGCTTTGAGCCTTTTGCACACAAAATACAAAAAAACCGTAGGCACTATATCAATTAGTTATCAATCGGGATAGGAAAATTCAGTGCGATGGAAAGTGATGACGTCACCACTGACTTATAAGTGTAATTATATAAAGGCTGAAAAGCATACCAATTTAGTCATGGTGTTTTATGTTTTTGTTAGATTCATATTGACAGCATTGATAGAAAACGGCTCTATCAATTCTTTTGATGCGCCGGCAGACATAATTTCTACAAACGTCATTAGTAACTAAAATTGATACAAAATTATTTGGGTGCATACAAGAATTTTTTTTTATTCTTTAAATTAATTTTCTATAATATACCATTTTAAGATATAACAGTTAAGAATGTTCTATAAAAGATTATTATTAGCTACATAATTACAAAAAGCATATAAATCTGAAAACTGTCAAAACATTAAAGAAAAAAAATATTAAGCTTTTGGCTTTTCTGGTTTATAGGATGTTAAAACTACTGTCTATTAGTTGAGAGGGAACATACTGTTGGGGACTTCAAGGAAATTCAAATTAGACGTTTAAAATTTAATGTCTATTGAGCTACTGTAGATAGTATTATTTAAGTTTTAGTTTTCAGTTAAAAAAGTGACCTTCTTGCCAATAGTGTATCATATTTAAATAATAATTTTCTTGTATTCCTTGCATTTCACAGTTGAATTCAGTGAATCAATATACTTTTTCAAAAAATAAAAAATTTGTTCTCACTACCTGTCAGTCTTTTTTCATAACTGTGGTTAGTGAAGTTGTTTTTAGTTGTACAGTATTGTAAAAAAAACCCTCATATTACAGATTTTGAATGCACAAACCCTGAGATTGAATAAACACTTAGCAACCAAGCTATATTGCTTAACTACAATCACATACTTTTAAACGGAAGCAAACTATTATATAATACAGTCTCTATACCCTTTAGCAGTATATAGTTTTTTGGGTTTTTTTTCAGATAATATAGTACCAAGTTTTAACTATAAGTTTAGAACATAAAACTTAGATTAACCATTTAAAAAAAATTAAATGCTATATCCAAGTTACTTTTAGTGTAATACGATGTACATTAAGTTTTAAATAACTGTAATGCCATTCATGTATATGTTAACTACAATATAGTAGTCAATGAAAAATGATAGACAGTTACAGTATATACCGTACAAAAATGTTAAAAAAATATTCCAAAAAAATAACACCCAAGAAAACTAAACATTAAAAGTATGCTTATGTATAAACGAAACAATGAAAGCATACAGTAGGCAATGCTTTATTCATCCAAAATTTGAAAACAACATTTTTTAGTAGAAAAAATATGTAATATGTACAGTAAATTGTTAAAGTGGTCCAATGAAAGAGGTACAGTAGGAAAACAGTTCGCCACCGCATCCTCACAAAATTCCGCAATGTGCTCTCCATTAAGTATGATTAAAAAAACAAAAAAACAAAAAAAAAAACCCAGTGTATTGTTGCAGGAGAGTACAAAATTGTCTTTTTTTTCAATGACGAAAAACAATGTAATAATATTATTATTATTATTATTAACTATATTATAGTTAACGCAAAATGTGTAATGGGGCAGCAACCCATATAACGTTGTTATATTAGCTAAACATTTTATAGAATGGGAACATAAGGTGCCCCTAAAGAATAAACTAGCACCGAGTTTCTAATAGAAAGTAAAATGCTGCGAGTATGCAATTCATGTAAATATAGATACTTCAGTACATATAAGGGTGTAGTTTTAGTATTAAAAGTTGGTAGAAATGTATGATTTGGTGGCTTATAAGAATGGATTTCAAAAGTTTTGTTTACAATGCTACAAAACAACATAATAATATACTTTACATAATAGTATTTATTGTTAACCACAATATGCTTCACAGTATTTAAATATGTAAAAAAAAAATTAATCACAATAGCCTTCACAGTATTTAAATCTGTTTTAACAGAAAAATATTTAAAACTTTTTAATATTTTCTCACTATTTAAAACTGTTTCAAGTGGCTTAGTGAAGAACATGCCTCACAGAAATTAACTCTGTTAAAAAAAAATGGTTTATACATATCGTGCTCCTCATTATTAAACTCTTTAAATAAAATAATGCTCTATCTACAATATGCTTTTCAATTTTTTAAATAAAGGCTTTATCCACAATATGCTTTTCAGTATTAAATTTAAATAAATGATTTTTAATTTTTAAACTTGTTTAAACACTACAGTATTTAAACCGGTTTCGAAATAGTATCTCATCAGGTAAATGACCTAGTCTCAGATCATTTCGTCATCTATGTCATCCGATGACGTGCACCCTCTGTTGTATTTGAGGTATTTTCCGCAGGGTCCTCTGTTCCCTGGGAAAACGAAACGAAAACGAGCAACACCATCAAGCTCTAAACTGACAATGACCTGGAATGTGTGCAACCACCAAAAACCTGCAAACAAAAGTATATGTGTAAATTAACATAAGATTGAACCACAACATTTGTACTAAATTAAAACATAAAAGCTGTTTTACTAACATATATATTAAATATAATTATCGATTACTATTATTTTATGAGATATTTTATTAGATGTTGATTTATTAGTAAGATATTTGGATATCAATATACACCTACCTTCAAATAGTACGTTGGGCCTAGCCTCAAATAGAAGAGACTAGCAAGGCCTTCAGCCTAATTAATTATAAGCCCAACCATAGCTAGCCTCAAATACTCATAAACAGGACACAATCGCACTCTTCTAGAAACATCACTAATATGATGACCATAATCAACAGCATTAATTAGGCAATACGGAAACAAACAAAACAAAACAAAACAAAAGTACATGATTGTGTAAATTAATGTCAGATTGAAGCGCAATATTTGTTACCAAATTCACACATTAAATCTTTTTTACTAACATACAGTATATATTCAATATAATTACCGATTACTATTATTTTATTCGATATTTTATTAGATGTTGATTTATTAGTAAGATATTTGGATATCAAAATATATACCTACCTCCTAAGTATAATCATCGAATAAAATATTTATCGCTACAAAATTACAATATGGTGTCTATGTACCTGTATGATTGTGTAAATTAACTTAGGATTGAAGCACAATATTTGTTACCAAATTCACACATAAAAGCTGTTTTACTAACATATTCAATATAATTGCCGATTACTATTATTTTATTCAATATTTTATTAGATGTTGATTTATTAGTAAGATATTTGGAGATCAAAATATACACCTACATCCTAAGTATAATTATAGAAAAAACTATTTATCGTCACAAAATTACAATATGGCGTCTATGATGAGCTTGTGGCCACATACATCAAAATAATCTGGCAATTTCTAATTAATATCAAATATAAAAATAACACTGTTTGTTTAGACACCTAAAAGCATCTACCCTAGGTAGAGAAGCTAATGGAATACGTAATATTAGGTTAGACCTAGGCCTAGCCTGAAATTGAAAGACTAGCCTAGACTAGCGACATTCTGCCTAGGCTCCAAGGCCTAATTATATTATAAAAAAGCACAACCATAGCTGCCCTAAAAATCTCACAAACAGGACACAATCACACTGATCTAAACATCACTAAAATTATCATGACCTTAACACTTCTAAGACTTGAGATAATAAATGTTTGAAAATGGAATACTTACCGATTCAATTCTAACTCCACCACACATCCAACACAGTCAAGCTCGAAACTGACAATGACTTAACACTTCTAAGACTTGACATAATAAATGTTTGAAAATGGAATACTTACCGATTCAATTCTAACTCCACCACACATCCAACACAGTCAAGCTCGAAACTGACAATGACTTAACACTTCTAAGACTTGACATAATAAATGTTTGAAAATGGAATACTTACCGATTCAATTCTAACTCCACCACACATCCAACACAGTCAAGCTCGAAACTGACAATGACTTAACACTTCTAAGACTTGACATAATAAATGTTTGAAAATGGAATACTTACCGATTCAATTCTAACTCCACCACACATCCAACACAGTCAAGCTCGAAACTGACAATGACTTAACACTTCTAAGACTTGACATAATAAATGTTTGAAAATGGAATACTTACCGATTCAATTCTAACTCCACCACACATCCAACACAGTCAAGCTCGAAACTGACAATGACTTAACACTTCTAAGACTTGACATAATAAATGTTTGAAAATGGAATACTTACCGATTCAATTCTAACTCCACCACACATCCAACACAGTCAAGCTCGAAACTGACAATGACTTAACACTTCTAAGACTTGACATAATAAATGTTTGAAAATGGAATACTTACCGATTCAATTCTAACTCCACCACACATCCAACACAGTCAAGCTCGAAACTGACAATGACTTAACACTTCTAAGACTTGACATAATAAATGTTTGAAAATGGAATACTTACCGATTCAATTCTAACTCCACCACACATCCAACACAGTCAAGCTCGAAACTGACAATGACTTAACACTTCTAAGACTTGACATAATAAATGTTTGAAAATGGAATACTTACCGATTCAATTCTAACTCCACCACACATCCAACATAACAAACGAAGCATATACTATACAAAACTAATTAATTACTAATATTCAGGGTGCACGCACCAAAGGCCCGACTACCAGGGTCAATTTATCATCATTATTTCTGTTCTGGTATAACAAGAAGCTCATTTCTTTTATATCAATTAAATTAACATGCCTTTTATATTTTAATAATATGTAGATAAAATATTATTGAAATAACTGTTTTAATATGATGTTATTCATGTTTTTTAATTGATACAAAAATATGCCAGTATTTCTGTAAGTTATTGGTTAGAAATTACCTCTCCCAAACTTCTTATCAGCAGTGGAGTGGTACAAGGAAGCAATCTTAGTCCTGTCCTTTTCCTTGTTTCTATAATGGTATTGTTGATCTGATTAATTGTCCTTTTTCATTATACGCAGATGACCTAGTTATTGTTTGGTCTTTTAAAGACTGCCTACTTGATCCTTTGCCATCCATTGCTAATTATCTTGGACAGTGGTTCCTATCCAATGGACTTCTTTTTATGCCATCGTAAATGTAAAATAATGAATACACTTTCAAAAATGCAATCATGCCTTTTTCTCAATTACCCTCTACAGGGTCGCTGATTGACATTTAAGAATTAATCTTTATCAATACTTATAAATCAGTGTTTGAAAACTCTCCGTAATGTAATATCTAAAGCATTAACTTTGCTTCTAATTAATTTTCAAAAAATTATTGTATTTGTCTGGATTGATATTTAATTTTTGATGTGGGCTTATACCCAGGGAATCTCCTGTTCAATTAATTTTTTCAATTTTTTAGGCACTGTATGCCTATTTAAAGTCAATATTTATGTTTTTTTCTGAGAATATTTGTAAAAGTCTTACCTGATGGAAGGCATGGTACATGGAATTGAGCATAAAATAGAGGGAGGGCTTTTTATTAAGGAAGGATAAAAATCATTATAATTAGCCATTGAGATCAAAATTCAAATTGCAATTAGAAAAGTCAATTAAAAAGATTTTTAAAATATGCATTTAATTTTCAGTATTTATAGACAGATATATTATTGATGTAATTAATTTTCATACTATTTCGAAGCCTACAACAAAATCTATCTCATGATTTGTGGTTTGAGCTACTGACCAGAAAAAAATTGGTTAAGTGGATTGAAATATACAGTACTGGGTACCTGTTACGGACTAACAAGTCATTCTTAATTATTTTAACAAACTAACATTTGTTTATGAAATTTTAATGACTTGAACTGTGCTCACTGCTATTTCAGTATCAAATGAAATTAAATCTAAATCTGAATAATTTTATAATTGTATTGATTGGTTTGCCAGTCTATCTGAATGAACAAGGTTAAATTTTTAGAAATAATGAAAAGGGCATGTAAAGTTATGGGCTGCAATACTTAAGATATTGAGGACATCCATGATGACTACTTATTTAATAAATTCACTTAAATAATTAATGACTCCAAACACCTTTAAATCAGTTTAACACTTATCAGAGGTCAGGTATAATTAAACCAATTTGGGTTGGGGGAGGGGGGAGGTGGGTGCGTACAAATAGAAACAAAGCAATAAAAAGCAATCTTGAGTCTTGAATGATAATTACCTTTTTTAGAGTCTGTAAAGAGGTAATTGTACTTAAAATCTGTAAATCACATAATGAGAAAGTGGAAATTTATCTTTTGATATTAATTTAAAGTGAATAACAATATTAAAAATAATCTATTAAAAAAATGCTTTTTTAATGAGCAACTTGTTTCTAACACTGAACACATGCATATTATCAATTTTCGAAACACATTTTACGCAATATACAATGCAGGCAACATGGGCATTTCTGGATGAAATTTACCAGGACAGTATTGCTAGGCATTATACTATGCCGACATTACACCAGTTCCTCAGACCATGCTCAGACCTAGGCTACGTTAACTCAACTCCCTGTTTGTGTGGTGAGCAGTGGTGAGTGATGTTTGTTTATGCCATGTTTATTTACACCGTTCTGCGGCCACTTCTCGATTAACTTAACATTACGTAACACTGTAGATATTGGGAATGTTATCTGGTAATCCAATTAAATTTATCTTAGGCTCATTGTTTCACCTATGGTCGAAACAAGTATTATGCTTTATGATTATATGAAATATCAATACATTCCAACGTTTTGTTCAGTAGAATAAAATAATTTTAAATAAAATGGTCAGGACGGAAGGGAAAGTACAGTATGTGTAAGAGATTGCGTTCCTCTACTACGTTAACTCGTGGATTAGACTAAGCCCCAAGGTGTAGATCCAACATTCTAATCAAGTTCAGCATAAACAAGACAGACAAAATGTTCTTTCACGAAAACGGAATAAAGCCTATCCTACTGTGGAGATGAATGAAGACATCACATCACATCCTTACACAACTTGGGATTAACATTTTTCCAGGTCTCAACTGGAATTTTCATATTAAGTGCCTGACCAAATAAGTGTCACAGAAGTTCGACTTTCTTTCCCGTGTGCTCATAAATATTTTTCTCCCGGTCATATCCTAAACCCTATACAAGTGCCAGATCCATCCCCAAATTGAGTACTGTTCTCATGTCTGGGGTGGAGCTTCTAAGCAGTAGTGGCTCTAGGATATAATTTATGGGGGGGGGGGGGCGCGCAAAGTATTTATGGGTTTAACTATAGGGTGTAGCGTTATCTGAGGGCCAGAGCCTGGAGAGGTGATGTCCCCTCCTCCCAAAACGAGATTTAAAATAAAAAATTGGGACTTATAGATGGCTGGAAATGGCTGGGATGGGAAAACTAGGGCTATTTTTTTTTTTTTCTGGTCATTTTTTTGGTCCAGCATTCAGATGTGCCATTAACAAACTTAACCTTTCCTCTCTTGAATCTCCTCTCTTGAAC